ATTTTTTTTCATCGGCGAGTGCCGTACGCGATCCGAAGATCAAGTTGGTTGACGTCTTCGAATACAGTATCCAGCCAGGTTTTTACTTACCCCTCTTGTCGGCGGCACCAGCCATGACATGGCGTCGAAGCCAAGACAATACTCGTAAAAGTGTCGTCGGGTCTGCGGAGAACATGGCCCAGCCGTTGCAGTCGGCGGCGTTGTATGTGCTTTGAGAGATGGGCAACGTGGCATCGATTTCTGAGGTCCGAATTTGAGACCCTGTGCCGCCAATTTACTTTCAGGATGAATCGAAGACACCAGTGATCGAAGACCTCCAATCGACGGATGTCCTCAGCGGTCAGGTTTCGCAGCCGTATAGTAGGACTGTTCGAACTGCTNGCTGTGGCAAACCCTGAGCTTGGTTTTGAGGCTGATCTTGTTCCGGTGCCGTAGGGTGGTTCGGAGCTGCAGAAACGCCGTTTGGGCCGTGTCGATGCGCCGCTTTACATCATCTTTGGCTTGGCAATCGGGTAGGATGGTGGATCCAAGGTACTTGAAGTCCGATACGATTTATATTGTCTGACCATCCAGTGACAGAGGATGTTCCGCTTGATCAGGTGGAGTAGCGAACATCTTGGCTTTGTTAAGATTAATCTCAATGCCGATCTCAGAGGCAAATCCTTTGATGCGGTTGATAGCTGTTTGCAAGGCGGTCGTGTTCTTTCCAAGCACTCATGTCATCGGCGAATTCGAGGTCAGTAATCCAGCAATCCGCGGAAACTTGGACGCCTTGGTAACCTTACATTGCCCGACTCAGAATTCAATCTACGGCGAAGTTGAACAACACTGGAGATAGCGGGGTTCCTTGTCCTACTCCTGATCTCAGATCGAAGGGATGAGACTCTTCACCGTAGGCACGGATACGGGCTTTGGTTTGGGTGTAATGCGATTTCACTGTATTGACCAACTTTGCAGGGACGCCATCTGCAATCATTATCTTCCACAATGACTCGCGGTCCACTGAATCGAATGCGGTCCGAAAGTCAATGAAACATGTAGCGGTGGGACGGATCACTGACTGTTCCCATTTTCATATAAAGGATCCCGTAATTATTTCGAAAACCACCGCGGGATCAGTTTGATTTCGATCTTCACCAAATTGTTAGCCTCGGTCATACGTTGACATCTGACGCCTTTAAGAGAGACCAACATCCGTAAACAGCAAACCGGATTCTGGCCTGGCCGGGGGTGTATTGGTCGAATTTCTACGTTACGTCAGGTCCTTCAGTTGCGTCACACCCACCGTCGACCAATGACCGCATTGTTTCTTGAGCTGAAAGGAGCTTTCGACTCAATTGACGCGAAGCTCTGATCGGTCCTCTTCTTCGAAAAGGAATGCCCCAGAAGTACGTTAACCTACTGAGGTCACTGTATTCACATACCTCCTTGTAAGGGTTGACAACGAACGAAGTAGGCCGTTCGTCACCAGCAGCGGCGTTCGTCAAGGGTGCCGTCTTTCGCCGTTCCTGTTCGATTTCATCGTAGACGAAATACTGGAGAACTCGCTTAGTGGTCCCCAAAACGTAGGTATTGAATGGGCAGCTGGAGAAAAGCCGCGCTATTTGGAGGACTCCGATGACATCGTCTGTCTCTTTGAATGTACGGAGTGCGCTCAAAGCGCACTTGATGGACTAAAAAACGTAGTTGCAGTTGTTATATTCGGTAAGTGCTTCGCACCTTCAAAGTGCAAAGACATGCTGCAGGACTG